CCTGAGTCATGGTTCTGCTCGAGGTTTATGCCTCTTAAAGGAAGTTTTCCTTGCCTCTGTCTCCTAGTGCTGCTCTTGGTGGGAACTGTTGGGCTTCTGTAAATAGCATTGTTTAGATCCAATCCTGTCCACAAGGAACTGTTTCTCAAAGGTCGTCATGTGACCCGCCGCTGTCATGTGACCCGCTGTGATTCTTTATCACCGCTGCAGTCACATCAGCGCCACCTGCGGAGCGAGACCTCAGGTGAAACCGGAGACAGAGGTGAGTCTCCGTTCAGAACTCCGTCTGCTTTTTAAGAGTTTTCTCAGCTACACGCTGTGGTTGTTTGTGTGTGTTTGCAGCCAGCAGTTAGCCCGAGCTAACCTGTTTCCGGGTTCTGAAGTTAGGAACAGAAACTGACCTCAGTTTGTTAAACTCTCAGTAATTAATCTATTAAACTGAAGCCAGTCTCACAGCTGCCCCGTCTTTCTTCGGTCTGCCAAACTCCAAGCAGGAAGAATTGAATTTAATATTGATCGGCCCTGAACACAGTTAGTTCAACACATAAAACAAGTTCTGACTCGGAAAGGTCTCGTGATAAATTCGGCAGACTTCCTCTTGATAAATCACGTGGTTAGACCTGTGGTTATACTCGTTTTCTTTACTTTGCAGAGCCGTCTGCGCTGTTTTTCTGCTACTCTGCCTCTGCGATTATGTGTTCTTCACCGAACTTCATTCAAAGTACAGCAGTATTTTAACATGTTTACCCTGACTGGACGAAAACGTCGTTCAGAGAGCCCTGACTGAGACACAGTGACAATCTGTAGGTTCCTGTGATAAATTCGGCTGACAGAAAGTCAGCCTCAAACGTTATTTCCTTTTTATAAATCACGTGTTTAGACCCATTCCCCTGAGCTTGTAGCGCCCTCTGCTGTTTGTGTTGCTGCTGTTCTGTCTCTGCGGTTCAGTTGTTGTAAGATTGTAAGTAAAGATGAAACTCTAAAAACAAAACATCTGAACCCCCCCCCCCCCCCCCCCTCCGTGTTGCCGACCGGCTCGGCAACACGGACTGGAGCGAGAGTTTCAGAGCGGTGAGTTATTAATCTGTATCCATAAAGTTTTAACTGAGCTCTGTCTCTACATCACAGGAACAACTTTATGTCCACTGACTGCCTGGAGGGTAGCTAGTGTTTGGAAGGGAGAGGAGAGCTGTGTGCTGCAGCTCGCTGTTTCTGAGGGCGTGTCGGAGTCGCCGCTCGGCGAGCGTTATGAGGCGCGTTTAGCTTTCATCCCTGTGACGTCACAGGGATGAAAAGGAAGCGGCTGGACTACAAACGAGCTGTTTTCAGTTCAGAGTTTTCTCCCTTTGGGCTTTTTCACTTTGCAAACCAGTTGCAGCACAAAGAAGGTAAATAACTCAACAAAGAGGGGAAAAGCCAAAAAGCAGAACACCACCTCTTTAAAACGGCAACGTGAGGCGACTGGGGGGGGTGCAGTGCATCATGGGAAGTCTCCCTGCAGGAGGTTACCTGCTTCAGGTGAAGTGAAGGTAACTTTTACTGGCGTTCAGCTTTTCGGAACACTTTGACTGCGGTCAGAGGGCGGCGTGCTGCACCTACCGAACATTTATGACCTCATAAAATATGACGACAGGTGAACGGAAACCTCAAGTTGTTGTTTCAGATGCTGGTGATGTCACTTCCTGTTGTGTTTCAGATGCTGCTGCAGGTGTTGTGTTTCTTCCAGTTGTCTCTGCTGGGCGGCGATGCGGCGCCGGCTGCAGACGAGGTGACTTACCTGCCCGGTCTGCAGAAACAGCCGAGCTTCAGACATTACTCTGGATACCTGAGCGTGGCTGATGGGAAACACCTGCACTACTGGTCAGTACTGAGACGCAGCTGAGTCGATATTTTATCAGGCTGCCTGTAAGAACATTAAAATACTGTTGTACGCTGCACTAAGCTGAGAACCTCCAGCCCCTCCCACCTGAACTACCGTTACCTGAGTGCACAGGTGTGTTCACACTGACGGTACCAGGGGGCTGTAGGCAGTACACCTGGGTGTCTTCACATCACCTGAGCGAGCGTGTTGTTGTTCTCCAGGTTCGTGGAGTCCCAGAGCAACGCGTCTGCCGACCCGGTGGTGTTGTGGTTGAACGGCGGCCCCGGCTGCAGCTCTCTGGACGGGCTGCTGACTGAACACGGACCCTTCCTGGTTGGTAACATCTGACTCCACCCACCTGACCCACAGTCACCTGTATCAGTGTGATGTCACAGGGACACCTGACCTCTGTTTCAGATCCAGGATGACGGAGTGACGCTGCAGTACAACCCGTACTCCTGGAACAAGGTCAGCTAGTCATTTCCCTTCACCTGCACGCCGTCAAGTCGCTCTGTGGTTTGTTTACGTGGTTGGGTTTAAATCCTGAAAGCTGATTGGTTGCCTGTCCGAGCAGATTTCCAACGTGTTGTACCTGGAGTCTCCAGCAGGTGTTGGCTTCTCGTACTCTGACGATCAGATTTACATCACCAACGACACAGAGGTAAGTGATGCGTGGGAGACTGCTCCTGATTGGCTCGTTCACTGTCAGGTGTTCAAAGTGTTTGTTTCTCTCCTCAGGTGTCCATGAACAACTACCTGGCTCTGAAGGAGTTCTTCCGTCTGTTTCCGGAGTACAGCAAGAACCAACTTTTCCTGACGGGAGAGAGTTACGGAGGGATCTACATCCCGACGCTCGCCGAGAGAGTGATGGAGGACGCCAGCCTCAACCTGCAGGTACACGGAAAAACTACAGGGCTGCGGGGACGCGGTAATCCTGTGAGACAGAAGTCTCCTGTCCTGTTAGCTTGGGGGACGCTAACGTTATATCTGTGTGTGTCCTGTCCTGTTAGCTTGGGGGACGCTAACGTTATAGCTGTGTGTGTCCTGTTAGCTTGGGGGACGCTAACGTTATAGCTGTGTGTGTCCTGTTAGCTTGGGGGACGCTAACGTTATAGCTGTGTGTGTCCTGTTAGCTTGGGGGACGCTAACGTTAGCTGTGTGTGTCCTGTCCTGTTAGCTTGGGGGACGCTAACGTTAGCTGTGTGTGTCCTGTCCTGTTAGCTTGGGGGACGCTAACGTTATAGCTGTGTGTGTCCTGTCCTGTTAGCTTGGGGACGCTAACGTTATAGCTGTGTGTGTCCTGTCCTGTTAGCTTGGGGGACGCTAACGTTATAGCTGTGTGTGTCCTGTTAGCTTGGGGACGCTAACGTTATAGCTGTGTGTGTTTGTGTCCTGTCCTACAGGGCGTTGCCGTGGGAAATGGGATGTCGAGTTACGAGATGAACGATAACTCTCTGGTGTACTTCGCCTACTACCACGGCCTGCTGGGGAGTCGACTGTGGACCGAGCTGCAGACGTTCTGCTGCAGCGACGGGAAGTGCAACTTCTACCAGAGCCAGAACCTGAACTGCTCTGCCAGCGTGAGTCTCATCTGAAGTGGTTTAAGGCTCCGGGGGGGGGGGGGTCTGAAGCTGGACCTGGTTTAGGGCTCCGGGGGGTCACGGGAAGCTCGTGTGAGGATCTGGTCTTAAGTCCAGGTCTGTTTCCTCTGCAGGTGTTTGAGGTTCAGTACATTGTCTATTCTTCAGGACTGAACATGTACAACCTGTACGCTCCCTGTCCAGGTGGAGTCCACCAGAGAGTCAGGTAAGCTGTGACCTTTGACCTCGAGAAGCCTGTGAGCCGCGAGCGCGCTCAGAGGCGTTTAAACGAGAGGGGGACAGGGATCAGGTCTGTGGTAGCGCCGTGTACAGACAGTCTGACGCTCCACGTGTGACTGCAGAGCGCCGGTTTGGACGCCGACGTGTGAGGAAGAAATAGTTTTTGGTTCACGACTGAGAACGCGGCGACCACAAAAAGTGACAGGCTGGGTGAAAGCGTCAAATAGAAATATAATAAGAGCTGTAGAGAGAGGAACGTGTAAAATGCAGCAGTTCCTGAACGTCACACAGCTGATCGGTTTGAACGAAGCAGCTGTTGGAACGTGGTCGTCTCGTCAGTCATTTTCAGAACTCTGTGCACGTGATCAGGGTGGCGCCTCCGCCTCCTGGACTGGCTGTTCTCATGACGTGGGTGTGTGCTTGCGGGACAGGGACCACATCATGGCTTCAGAGGGCAGGCCTATGTGAAATGAACCGTGAGTCCAGATCCAGACGTGGTGGTCCGGTCTCAGCTGAACTAGGTGGGCCCACGTAGACTAGAAGTGAGTGACACCCAAGCGAGGGCTGAACCCGTCGGACCTACGTTTGTAACGTTCGAGCCTTTTGACTTTCAAAGGGCGACGGCCAACAGAAACTTGACCAACCACCGGGACAGGACTTCAGAAAAACTGACGCAGCACAAGTGACGTCATCACGACTCGGCGTCACTTGTGCTGCGTCGAGCGTAAACGAAGCTTGGCCGTTAAATTCAGAGCAGAAGTTGGCAGTGAGTCTGCAGCGGGTGTAGTGTGACCTCAGAGCTGACTTCCTGTTGTTGGTCGTCAGTGTTGAAGGCGGCGAGCTGGTGATCAGAGACCTGGGGAACTCCTTCATCAACCACCCGTGGACTCAGCTGTGGAGCCAGGTGAGTCTGAACGCACCTGATGTCTTTACGTAACGCTCAGCTGACGGAGGGACTGACGCAGCTTCTCCTCTGTGTGTAGAAGCTGCGAGGTCTGGCGTCTCTCCACCTGTCTGTCCGTCTGGACCCGCCCTGCACTAACTCCACCCCCTCCTCCCTCTACCTGAACAACCCGTACGTCAGAGCCGCTCTGCACATCAGCCCCAAGGCTCTGGCCTGGGTCATCTGCAGGTAACGCACTCACCTGAGGCCGCCGCTGCTTCACCTTTTTTTTCTTGTTGAGGTTTTTCAGTAAAGTTGTAACCCCGCCCCCCCGACCTCTGACCTTGTGTTGCAGCTCTGAAGTGAACCTGAACTACGGTCGTCTCTACCTGGACGTCAGGAAGCAGTACCTGAAGCTGCTCTCTGCTCTGGTCAGTCAACACAGCTGTTCTCTCTGCACCGCAACGTTTCACCTCAGAACTCGTCACGTCGCCGCGTGACATCACCTGTGGTGCACAGTAACACAGCGGGGGGGGCGATCACCAACCGTCCGGAGAGGGGCGGGCCAGGAGATGGAGGAGCGACCGGCCCGCTGCGGACGGTCAGGTGATCGTTCCCTCAGGCTGGATGAAGTCTGACGCTCGGCGTGATCCGTGACAGACTCCTCCCCCGTAGGTCGCACCCTGGGCAGGAGTCTCTCTAATGGTTTGTCGGACAGCCCGTTCCTCCTCGGAGTCAGCAGACTGGCCGGGCTAAAGAACCTCGCCGCCGGCGCTGTCCTTTGATTAAACAACATGAAGTAACGCCTCCACCTTTGGCGTCTCTGCGTCCTCATGAACTGGCGCTGAAGTCAAAAGTGAGGTTGGGAAAACGCTCGTGAAAAGGGACGTTTCTCTCCTCCCCGTTAGGCCGATAGTTCAAGAACCAGTTCCCAAGTAACGTGGTGATTTTGTTCTAACGTGATCAGTGGAGTATCAACGGTAACGCGTTCAGGGATGTAGTGGGACTGAAAGTCAGCCCGGGACTTTGAGACTGAGAGGTCTCTTATTTTAATACAGTGAAAGTTTGGTTCTCTGTGCAGAAGTACCGGGTCCTGGTGTACAACGGGGACGTGGACATGGCCTGTAACTTCATGGGGGACGAGTGGTTTGTGGAGTCTCTGCACCAGCAGGTAATCCAGGATCCAGGAGTGACCACAGAAAACAGATGGCGGTGGGGGGGGTCGTACTAACCTCTCGGGTGTCTCTCAGGTGGAGGTCCAGAGGCGTCCGTGGCTCTACGATGATGAAGGCAGTCAGCAGGTCGGAGGCTTCGTCAAAGAGTTCGACAACATCGCCTTCCTCACAGTCAAGGTGAGCGCCCTGTGATGTCATCTTTCATGTCTTTCGGAGGCGGGGCTCTCGCCTGTCAGTCGTCGTTGATGGGAGGTGGTGTCACGTTTGTTGTTGCTGACCTTTGACCTCTGTCCTCCTGCAGGGTTCAGGTCACATGGTTCCAACAGACAAACCAATCGCTGCCTTCGCCATGTTCTCCAGATTCATCAAGAGGCAACCCTACTGACCTGGACCGGCCCACCTGACCCGGCCCTACTGACCTGGACCGGCCCACCTGACCCAACCCACCTGACTCAGCCCTACTGACCCGGCCCGGCCCTACTGACCCGGCCCGGCCCTACTGACCTGGACCGGCCCACCTGACCCGGCCCTACTGACCCGGCCCGGCCCTACTGACCTGGACCGGCCCACCTGACCCGGCCCGGCCCTACTGACCCGGCCCGGCCCTACTGACTCGGCCCGGCCCTACTGACCTGGACCGGCCCACCTGACTCGGCCCTACTGACTCGGCCCGGCCCTACTGACCCGGACCGGCCCACCTGACTCAGCCCGGCCCTACTGACTCAGCCCGGCCCTACTGACTCGGCCCGGCCCTACTGACCTGGACCGGCCCACCTGACCCGGCCCTACTGACCTGGACCGGCCCACCTGACCCAACCCACCTGACTCAGCCCTACTGACTCGGCCCGGCCCTACTGACTCAGCCCGGCCCTACTGACCCGGACCGGCCCACCTGACTCAGCCCTACTGACTCGGCCCGGCCCTACTGACTCGGCCCGGCCCTACTGACTCGGCCCGGCCCTACTGACTCGGCCCGGCCCTACTGACCTGGACCGGCCCACCTGACTCGGCCCACCTGACTCGGCCCTACTGACCCGGACCGGCCCACCTGACCCGGCCCACCTGACTCAGCCCTACTGACTCGGCCCGGCCCTACTGACTCGGCCCACCTGACTCAGCCCTACTGACTCGGCCCTACTGACCCGGACCGGCCCACCTGACCCAACCCACCTGACCCGGCCCTACTGACCCACCTGACCCGACCCGGCCCGGCCCACCTGGACCCCCCCGCCTCCCCACATCTTATCATGTTTTTCATTTGATCAGGGTTTGTTTGTTTTTTCACCGCCAGCCAATCAGCACGGCCCAGCTGTGTCATCGCTCTACTGGTCACTGTAGCAACGTGTGGTTGTCATGGAAACTAGCACTGCCATTTAATGTGTTGAAAGTGAAACTTTTGTTGATTTTTAAAGAAAATAAAGTTTGATTTCTGAAGCTGAAGACTCGTTGATTTAAAGTCCAGCAGGTCTGCAGGACAAACAGAACTCAGGAGGAAAAACTCCTGACTTGTGTTTCCAGAACTGCACAATAACGGACAGGAAGATGGCAAAACGCCCTCCAGGAGGTCCTGAGTCAATCAGCTGTAATGGGTACGCAGAGCGAGTACAGGTACCGTACACCACACAGTGAATTATTAGTACTGTCTCAGACATAAATAATAAGCCGAGCCCAAAGGGGCTCACCGGACGACGCCATTTAGAAAACATGAGAAACAGAATCCATCCTGACAGGAAGGACTACAACCGGACTGGAACGTGTTTGTGGTTCACGTTGAGGAGGTTCAGTCTGTTTACAGTCAACTCTAACTGTTGACGTCCGCCTGAAGGCTGACCCTGGCAGTCAGCGCTCAGGGAGAAGAGGGCACGTCCTAAAGTTTCCCAGCAGACCTTGAAGGCAGCAGCAGGTGAGTTCAGGTTTGGAGGTTTGACTTTCAGAATGACCTGACTGTTTGTGTTAGCAGGTGTTCGCTCAGACGGCTCACCTGGATTCACCTGCGCAGGTACGACACTTCATTTTAAATCAGCTGGACTGAGCTGGACCGGGTTTAATGCTGGTCCGGGTTTAATGCAGGACTGAACTGGGTTTAATGTGGTCTGAGCTGGACTGGGTTTAATGGAGGACTGAACTGGTCCGGGTTTAATGGAGGACTGAACTGGTCCGGGTTTAATGTGGTCTGAGCTGGACTGGGTTTAATGCAGGACTGGGTTTAATGCAGGACTGAGCTGGACCGGGTTTAATGCAGGACTGAGCTGGACCGGGTTTAATGCAGGACTGAGCTGGACCGGGTTTAATGCAGGACTGAGCTGGACTGGGTTTAATGCAGGACTGGGTTTAATGCTGGACCGGGTTTAATGCTGGACCGGGTTTAATGCTGGACCGGGTTAAATGCAGGACTGAGCTGGACTGGGTTAAATGCAGGACTGAGCTGGACTGGGTTTAATGCAGGACTGAGCTGGACTGGGTTTAATGCAGGACTGAGCTGGACCGGGTTAAATGCTGGACTGAGCTGGACCGGGTTAAATGCTGGACTGAGCTGGACCGGGTTTAATGCTGGACTGGGTTAAATGCAGGACTGAGCTGGACTGGGTTAAATGCAGGACTGAGCTGGACCGGGTTTAATGCAGGACTGAGCTGGACCGGGTTTAATGCAGGACTGGGTTTAATGCTGGACTGAGCTGGACTGGGTTTAATGCTGGACTGAGCTGGACTGGGTTTAATGCAGGACTGAGCTGGACTGGGTTTAATGGAGGACTGAACTGGTCCGGGTTTAATGCAGGACTGAGCTGGTCCGGGTTTAATGGAGGACTGAGCTGGACTGGGTTTAATGCAGGACTGAGCTGGACTGGGTTTAATGCAGGACTGAGCTGGACTGGGTTTAATGCAGGACTGGGTTTAATGCAGGACTGAGCTGGACTGGGTTTAATGCAGGACTGAGCTGGACTGGGTTTAATGCAGGACTGAGCTGGACTGGGTTAAATGCAGGACTGAGCTGGACTGGGTTTAATGCAGGACTGAGCTGGACTGGGTTTAATGCTGGACTGAGCTGGACTGGGTTTAATGCAGGACTGAGCTGGACTGGGTTTAATGCAGGACTGAGCTGGACTGGGTTTAATGCTGGACTGAGCTGGACTGGGTTTAATGCTGGACTGGGTTAAATGCAGGACTGAGCTGGACTGGGTTTAATGCAGGACTGAGCTGGACTGGGTTTAATGCAGGACTGAGCTGGACTGGGTTTAATGCAGGACTGAGCTGGACCGGGTTTAATGCGGGCTCAAAGTAATCCAGGTCCTCTTCCTGCTCTTCTCTGGAGGTCATCGGTTCAAACTGCTGCTGACTAAAATAAATGACTTTATTACTGACGTCAGAGCGAGGACGCCATGAAAGCAGCTGACGTCATGGTCACATGCTGCGGTTTGTGTCTGCTGTGGCCTGATGATGTCACAGTGATGTCATCAGACTACAGCTCCTGTGTTTTCAGGGTGAACCCGGGTCTCTGTCCCATGGTGCACCAGGACACTCATGAAGCCTCTGACCTTTCAAACTGAAACACCTGTTCACTTATTAACTCTCTCTCAGGTGAGCGGCGGCCATGGACCAATCGCTGTCCAGTGGGCGGGGTCATGTGAGCGTGCTCAGTGGGTTCCCTCCTTCTGTGGGCAGAGACGTAGCTGTTGCCGTGGTGAAGCCCCTTGGTGCTGGCCTGGGAAACCCCGACACCCGCAGCCTGCTGCGCACAGACAGACAGGTGTGTGTGTGTGTGTGTGTGTGTGTGTGTGTGACCTCACACTCAGGCTTGGTGTGTAATCGTGCTCAGTGTTTGATCAACACTGAGTGTGAACACATTCACCAGGGCGAGTTCACGACAAAACATTTTTTTTCAACAGACAGGGTTTTTCCCTGAATCAGGGTTCCTCTGCAGCTGCGGTGTTGTGAGCAGCATCCCGTTCAGACAGCGGATCTGCAGGATTTTACACAGGAATCATTAACGTCTGTGGTCTGTAACTGAAGTGTTCTGTAGTCTGTGGTCTGTAACTGAAGTGTTCTGTAGTCTGTGGTCTGTAAGTGAAGTGTTTAGATTGACTATTTTACGTGTCCAAAAATACAGGTAAAAAAAATCCTGGATGAAAGTTTGAAATTTACAAGAAGAAAAATCATCATGAGATTAAAGTCATAAAAAATCAAAAATCACTCTGGTGTTTTCTGAATACCAAACATTAACTGAGTGTTTTCACATATTTAGATTTTCACATTTTTAGGTGCGCGTTCACATAAAAGCGTGTTCGGCCGTGCAGGCTGAGCTTTCTCGTAACGGCGCATGCTCCGTATTTCACCAGAGGAACGCACGTTGGTGTTGTTGGTGGAAATTATGAATGTAAAGACACGTTAACGCCTAAATCTAAGCCAGGGCGGCTTGTTGGCATCACAGAGTGAATCTGTAGCCTAATTATCTTCACAGTGTTCTTATTGTAGTTCAAATCTCTATTATGTATTTTATGGGCTCTTCTTTTATGTGTTAATGATTCAGATGTGACGGTTCAACTGCACATAAAGTTAAAAGAGCCAGGGAATAATCTGAGACAGAATTTAAGTCTCTGACATTATAGTCACACATTTATAAGGAACTTTGCAAGGCTGCAACATCACACACACGTCTGGTGTACACATGGTGTGTATTAATACTTCTCCTCAGTAACGCTGAGTACACATGGTGTGTATTAATACTTCTCCTCAGTAACGCTGAGTACAGATGGTGTGTATTAATACTTGTCCTCAGTAACGCTGAGTACAGATGGTGTGTATTAATACTTGTCCTCAGTAACGCTGAGTACAGATGGTGTGTATTAATACTTGTCCTCAGTAACGCTGAGTACAGATGGTGTGTATTAATACTTGTCCTCAGTAACGCTGAGTACACATGGTGTGTATTAATACTTGTCCTCAGTAACGCTGAGTACAGATGGTGTGTATTAATACTTCTCCTCAGTAACGCTGAGTACAGATGGTGTGTATTAATACTTGTACTCAGTAACGCTGAGTACACATGGTGTGTATTAATACTTGTACTCAGTAACGCTGAATACAGATGGTGTGTATTAATACTTGTACTCAGTAACGCTGAGTACACATGGTGTGTATTAATACTTGTCCTCAGTAACGCTGAGTACACATGGTGTGTATTAATACTTGTACTCAGTAACGCTGAGTACACATGGTGTGTATTAATACTTGTCCTCAGTAACGCTGAGTACACATGGTGTGTATTAATACTTGTCCTCAGTAACGCTGAGTACACATGGTGTGTATTAATACTTGTACTCAGTAACGCTGAGTACACATGGTGTGTATTAATACTTGTACTCAGTAACGCTGAGTACACATGGTGTGTATTAATACTTGTACTCAGTAACGCTGAGTACACATGGTGTGTATTAATACTTCTCCTCAGTAACGCTGAGTACACATGGTGTGTATTAATACTACTCAGTAACGCTGAGTACACATGGTGTGTATTAATACTACTCAGTAACGCTGAGTACACATGGTGTGTATTAATACTTTTCCTCAGTAACGCTGAGTACAGATGGTGTGTATTAATACTTTTCCTCAGTAACGCTGAGTACACATGGTGTGTATTAATACTTGTCCTCAGTAACGCTGAGTACACATGGTGTGTATTAATACTTGTCCTCAGTAACGCTGAGTACACATGGTGTGTATTAATACTTGTACTCAGTAACGCTGAATACAGATGGTGTGTATTAATACTACTCAGTAACGCTGAGTACACATGGTGTGTATTAATACTTCTCCTCAGTAACGCTGAGTACACATGGTGTGTATTAATACTTGTACTCAGTAACGCTGAGTACACATGGTGTGTATTAATACTACTCAGTAACGCTGAGTACACATGGTGTGTATTAATACTTCTCCTCAGTAACGCTGAGTACAGATGGTGTGTATTAATACTTCTCCTCAGTAACGCTGAGTACAGATGGTGTGTATTAATACTTCTCCTCAGTAACGCTGAGTACAGATGGTGTGTATTAATACTTCTCCTCAGTAACGCTGAGTACACATGGTGTGTATTAATACTTCTCCTCAGTAACGCTGAGTACACATGGTGTGTATTAATACTTGTCCTCAGTAACGCTGAGTACAGATGGTGTGTATTAATACTTGTC